CATCTCTACAGTATATAAGACCACTGGCTGTCGTTAACAGCTTCTTTACAATTAATCATATTGTTCAGTGTTCAAGAAATGTTGACAATACTTGCAATGTGCTCGGGAAAGAAGACTGTTCCATAATTATTATGATAATATTTACATTGTAATATCACCCACCCCTAGTGTAAATATGTGGATAAGAGTAGTGAAAACTTGGGGGAAAGTGTGCTTTATTTATGTGGAATGATAACCACAGCTTTAATTAGGCCTGAAATTATGGTATGAACCCAAATACAGACCCAGAATTTTGTCCGAGCCCCACCCAACACGCAGCAGCACAATTTGAGTCCCAGCCCGACCCAAACCACCATCATGTCTGAATAATTGAGTCTGAAATCGACTCATTTCTAACAAAATTCTGACCCAAACCAATCATCTATCAAAAAACTTAAAGGATAGTGCCAGTTACAGTCTAGTGACAGTAATAGCCATCATGGATAAATCAAATAGAAAACAGTATAAAGTAATATGCTATAATAGAATAATTACCTGTCCGAATTTGGCTTTAATAAATGTACTCATCAAACTGTTGTTGCATCACAAATGTTAATTTTGAGTCTTGCTACTCTTTCTGTACTGCACTTACGTTGTGCGGTGCTGCTATTGAGAGATACTATCCCTGTTTAATCCTCAAACTCTATTTCTGCACGTAGAACATGTTACATAGAACATACTGAACATTTTAAACGTCCTTTTGGCTGCATTATTCTGTACTTTTCTGAATGGATTCACTGTTTTATTTTCTCATTAGCATTGACCTCAGTGCTTAGTGAGTGACTCCAGCGTGCCAAAACAAAAAACAATTTAACGTAGTGAAAATAGTGAAGAATAAATAAGGAGAAAAACGTGAAGGAAATGCAAGGTAAAATCTGTTAAAACTGGGAGGCGGGCTGTGAGAACCTTAATATAAAATTTGAACCCAACCCAAACCCAACATGTTTGAGAAATGACATCCGACAGGAGCAGTCGGGTCCCATCAGGTTCAGACAAATATTTCAAGCTCTTGAAATTGCCTTGAATATTTATTGTGTAATGTCTTCCTGTTTCGCGCCTCAGGTGGTCCACAGAGATCTGAAGCCCAGTAACATTCTCTATGTGGACGAGTCAGGCAACCCAGAGTCTATCCGTATCTGTGATTTTGGCTTTGCCAAACAGCTGAGGGCAGAGAACGGCCTGCTGATGACGCCCTGCTACACTGCCAACTTTGTGGCCCCTGAGGTAAACGCTGCTGCCTCCACTGTTCAGACAAGGCTTTTGAAAGTGTTTGCAGTCAATAACAAAAGATCATTTTTGTTCTCCAGGTTCTAAAGAAGCAAGGTTATGATGCTGCATGTGACATATGGAGCCTAGGTGTCCTTCTGTACACCATGCTAACAGGGTAAATATAGAAACATGAGTATGGCATGAACTGCTTATGATGTTTGAACTGTACAGTTCTATTCAGATACCGTGCTGTTTTCTAGGTTCACTCCATTCGCCAATGGCCCTGAGGACACGCCGGAGGAGATTCTGGCCAGGATCGGCAGTGGAAAGTTCTCTCTGACAGGGGGATACTGGAACTCTGTCTCATCTGAGGCCAAGGTGGGCTCACTGTAACTTAAAACACCCTATGGATTTTACTGTAATGCAGTAAGTATAAAATAGTCACCCCAGAATTAATGTATTTGTTCTTCTTTATATGCATTGATGGTGCCCACAGGACCTGGTATCTAAAATGCTGCATGTAGACCCCCATCAGAGATTAACAGCTGCACAAGTGCTGAGGCACCCCTGGATCGTTCACAAAGACCAGCTCCCCAAATACCAACTCAACAGACAGGATGCTCCTCATCTAGTCAAGGTAATATACTCTTCACGCATTTTAATTACTCAATTACTCAGTCAAACCGAACTACTTGGCTTAAAGAATGAACCTTTAACATTTACCTTCTTGACGAATTAGCAATTTGAGTGATAATGCTCGTTTTAAATTGTACTACTGTTTTTTTTTTCATGGTACAACATAGAGCCTGAGGGACACATTCATTTATGTGCATTTCTGGCCATTTTTGGTCTGTCCAGGAGCAAACTGAAACTAAACTGTTCTTCTAGCTCACAAGATATCAAATACTTACTGTATTAAATGTAATGATAAGTACTAGAGCTTTAATCAGGCCAGAAATGACGGCCTGAATCCGAATACAGCCCAAAAATTTCCTGTCTGAGCCCCACCCAACACGCAGCAACACATTTGGAGTTCAAACGCAACCTGACCCAAATGAACCAAAACATTGTGTTTTGAGTCCAAAATTGCCAGACTGATCTGTCATTTCCCAGAATGTCTAATAAAAACTGACAGGTTAGCACTGGTTACCGTGTAGTGACAGTAATAGCCATCATCAGGACCTGTGGCTGTATTACAGAAACTTCGTATCTTTTTGTTTTAACTAAGTCAAAGCACTGTTTTCAGTGTAGATGAATGTAATGTCCTTATGCTAGTTATAGTGAACTATGCTGCCTGTCACCGCATAAAAGAAACAGATGGTTAGACAGACATTAGGACACCTCTAGGGTTGTGTGAAAGTTAGAACAGAATTTAGGAAATTTTGTCTAGTTGGGATGTTCCTGTAATACTGTTTTCTTATCTGGAGTTATGGATAAGATTATGAACTTGAGAACTGTTGTTCTGTAATAGCTTCTGTCTTAAATTCAGTCCTAACTGAAGTTGTCATGGTAACTAAGCAGACAAGACGTAATACAGCCCCTGGTATCTAAAATGCTGCATGTAGACCCCCATCAAGATATGGAATATCAACTACTTTTTTCAAAATAAGTAATTCTTATTATTTTTTGCTGTATTTATGTTTGTTTGCATTTATTCTAATGGTATATGGTATTTTTCCAAGCACAAACACACTTATTGCCAAGATGATTTTAAATAATGCATCTAGATGCTTAAGACTTCTGCACAGTAGTGTATGCATTTTATATATGCTTTAGTGTTACTGAAGACCTTTTAGTTTATTTTGTCCCCAATAAAGTTTCTTGGATAGTGATGGTAGAAACGAGCGAGAAAATCTCAAGATTTAATTTTTCTGGAACCCGAAGCAGGGATTTCGAAACAATTCTATATACATGTTCTCTGCATCATCACATACTGGGTTCAGCTCACCCCAGTCAGAATTATTACCCTTTTTTGGCCCTATTAAGGTTTCACTTTTTACACCAAATTCTAAGCAGCAGTTAATAAAGATGTGAATAGACTAAACTTAGCTCAACAGTTTATTTTTACACCTCTATAAATCTGTGCAACAAACGTTCCATCCTATGCACAGATCAGGAGTATGAAATGTCCAGGAGTGAAACTGAACACATTCTGCTTTCAGTCGAGCCGTCAGTTCACACCGAATATATAAACATTCCTGATTCCTTTAGCCTGTGTGATGTAAGGACATATTAAAACCTGGGTTTTGAATCAGATCAGAGCAAATGATTGATTTTACTCAAGTCCGTTTTTATTGTTGGGCCTTTTTTAAGAAACTTGATTACTTGCTTGTTAAAATTATCTGTATGTTTCTCAGTTACTAATATAATTCAAGTATTTGGCTAAAAGTTAGTGTAATAGAGTTTCTCATTAGGCTAAATGGGATCTTTTCCAGTGTTCTGTAATGCCTGTACAACCTAGCAAAGTTAATTTGAAAGAACACATTTGTGGGCGGAGCTTGGAATGGCCAATTCTGCAAGGTACTTCCAGGTGGTCTGATGGTGGTTCTTTTCTTTCGCAGGGCGCCATGGCTGCTACTTACTCTGCCTTGAACAGGAATGTCCCCCCAGTGCTGGAACCCGTCGGCTGCTCCATTCTCGCTCAGCGCCGAGGAGTGAAGAAAGTGACCTCCACTGCCCTCTGAGCTGCTGCCCTCCACTTTCAACCACACACCTCACAACTGGCGGGAAAACCGCCCGCCTGTCCTCCTGCCCTTTAAAGAAGCTCGGCTGTCCAGTCCAGCTGCGCCCAGGGCTCAAAAGCCAAGTGTGGACTCAAAGGACCCCTGGTGGACAATCTGATTCTTCCTTGTCTGCTCACAAAGAGGACCAACAAAGTCTTTTGCTTGTACAATCACTGCTGCCTCCAGACTCAAAACAAGCAAAGCATCCACAGCAATCTGATTACTATTTTTGTTTTTTGGGGAAACAAGAGACAGTATCATACATGCATATAAACTTGTAATATACTGTAATATCACTCTTTTTATAAAGCTGATAGAGTAAGACATTATTATATGGGCTGTTTAGAACAAAACAGTTGCAAAATGAAATGCCATCAAATAAGAAATGTATTGTTCACTTCTGTTCATCAACCTCTCCAAATCTGTTCGGTTTCCAAGTTGAACTAGGAATGTTAAAACCAAGAGAGCTGGCCTTAATGTGTTTTTAAGATCTTGATGTTTCTCTTCCGTAAATCTTCTCTTCACATAAAAAAGCCTTTGCAAGGCTTGAAATCCACAGGTGTCCTAGGAAGACCCAATGCCAGAACAAGAGTTCCCATAAAAAGAAGACACTTTTACAGGAAGTCATGTGTGGCGAGAGGACCACAACAAGAGAAACGCGTTCTAGCTTTACAAACTGGTTTTGCAGATCAACTGCGCAAAAGCAGTTCAGAGCACAAGACAGCAGAGAACTGTAAATACTTAGAGAACTCAGGTTTATGAAATGCAATGCATTATTAAAAAAAAAAGCTATGAGTAACAAAAGCACACAACAGTGTTGTCTCATTTAATCCCAGGTGACCTGTATGGTTGAGAAACTAAAGATATGTGGTCATTTCCTCAGAAGGAATGTGGGTCATTATGGGTTTTGAAGAACTACTCCTGGCATATTTTTGTAAATACGTGGAATCATTTCTTTAGCTCATGGTAATCTAGTGGCTCCGCTTGAGGTGTATGCAAGCATGGCTGAGGACCTTTTTCATCTCCACTTCTGTTTTCCAGCAGGCCTGTGTTGTTATTTTGTAAGGTTTTAAATGGGGTTATGTTCTGGACTCTCTGTTGCTTTGTAGCCTTTCCTCTCTTTAAAATAGAAGAGTGCTGGAAAAAAAGAAAGCTACTATACTGATCTCTCATTTACGTGTAGTAAAGTTTTACATTTTTATGAGGGAAAAAATTACATCTACATAGACAAGAACTGTTCTCAGATTTTTTAAAAATGGGCCTCTACAGTATTGCTGAGTCTCAATACAAGTTATATTCATTATACTTACGTATATTAAGTACAGTATATATCCAACAGTATATTATAATTATTGAATACAGCTACTTTTAGGTGCACCCTTTGCTAACACAGCTTGTATAATCACTAAGCATTGCCAATAGATGCTTGAGAGCAGCCGCAAATTAGCCTCCACCATGCCCAAAGTCAAGCGTTGGCTAGAGGGGTATAAAGCCCTTCAGCATTGGTCTGTGGAGCAATGGAATCTGAAGGATGGAGCTCCATCCAATACTTTTGATGAGTGGAGAGGCACTTAGTGATCCAGAACTAAGCAACCAACATCAGTACCTGACCTCACTAATGCTCCTGTAGTTGAAAGCAGTCAGATCCACACAGCAATGTTCCAACATCTAGTGTAAAGCCTTCCCTAAAGAGTAGAAGCTGTTAGTGCAGCAAACAGAAGTACTATTAATGACTTTGATTTCAGAAAAGGTTTCAGACATTTAGGGCCAGTTTCCAGTGAAGTCTAGAGAAAATTCTAATGGTGATTTACCATTGATGCTGCAATTCAAACTAGGATTAGACATAATCCATGCATTGGAAGTAGAATATACACATAGTATACTGAGTCACTACGCACATCTAAGTGTAACAAAAAAGATGAGTCTTCAAGGGTTCTTTAGGAAAGAAAGTGATTCTATATAGAACCATGAGCACTCCAAGAACCCTTTGCATGATTAAAGAGTTCTTTAAGATTTCCTTCAGACTGATGGAGAATGTGTTGAATATGGTTTGTATAGAGCCTTTTTGAAAAGGGTTCTAGATAACACCAAAAAGGGTTCTTCTGTTATGATGTCAAGCTTGTACTAAAAGAAAGAACCCTTTTCAAAAAGGTTCTATATAGAACCATATTCAACACATTCTCCATCAATCTGAAGAACCCTTTCACGATGCAAAGAACCCAAAGGGTCCTTTAAGTATTCATTTCTTCTACATAGAACCATTTTCTTTACCATTTTCTTTAAGAACCATGATTTTTAAGTGTGTAGGCTATATAAATGTTACAGTATAATTACACCCCTCACTGTTCCTAGGGGTTAAAGTAATTATTATCCATCATGTATATCATCATATATCAGTCTGTGGTGTAAAAGAAATGTCTTAAATTTTTAATAGTGTTTTCAAAAGTACGCATCTTACCAAGTGCATGTATACTGTAGTAAACCTTCCAGTCAAAATCAGTTAACACATCCTCTACAGAGAACACATTGTTTTTAGTTTATATGCTGTATTTAACAACAACAAAAAAACAAAATGTGGCCTGTGCAAAAGTTGAGGCACATTTTGTATTTTATCTTTTATTTTTGTTTCTGATATGTTGAATACTGTGCACTAATTAGCAGGAAAATACCATATTTAAGTGTGTTCTCTGTAGAGGATGTGTTAAATTATTTTCACTTAGAAAATCAACAAGACATGTAGGTTAACAAGGAGTGTTCAAACTTTTGCATATGAATGTATATGTACAAGAATCCTCAAAGCAATGTTTAAAACAATAGGACCATTCTTTTTACAAAACAAATCTACATTAATAAGAAAAATAGAAAATGCACATGTCTATATGAAAACTGCTGCACAGCTACTTCTCAAAGTAGTTTAGATCAAAGTAATGACAAGATCTAGAGGTTATTAGGAACCACTAGTTCAGCATCAGCCATGGAATGCTCTCTTGGGTAAGACCAGATGTCTCAATCCATATCATCAGTGTCCTCACTGGTGTCGGTATAGGACAGCTCCTGTGGCGAGGGCAGTGACAGGTTTGATTCAGGAACAATATGATCTGTTCCAGTTTCCTCAAACTGAACTACTGACTCTGCACCAACCATCAGTTCTGGCTCCAACTCCAAGCCTTCTTCAGTCTCTATGTGCACCCTGACTGGTTCCTCCACAGGCTCACTCAGAGCTCCAGGAGTCAAGTGTGTTTCAGAGTCACTTTGCAACTTGAATTCTCCTTGAGCTTTTTCTCCTATGTCCACTTCAGGACCCTTCTGAGCATTTAGCCTCAAAAGGCGCTTCTTCTCATGAATGCGCATATGGCAGAGGTAGCCACGCTCAGTGAGCTGGTACACTTTGCAAGTGCTGCAGTAATATGGGGTCACCACTACATGTCTATCAATGTGTTTGAAAAAAGCATCCACTCGTACAAAACTTTTGTCACAATAACTGCACACGAGCTTACTTCCAGCGTGAGCCGCTTTAACATGCTGAGAAAGCTCCCCTTTCACTTCATAAACTTCCTCACAGACCGGGCATTTATACGTCACCTGGGATGTGTGGTGTCTCATGTGAGCATCCAGAGAGCCCTTGTAGCGGAAACGGCGGGGACAGAGGGTGCACCCGTGTGTTAAAGAGGACTCCGACTCCTCGTGGAGCTTCTCATGAGCTTTCAGAAATGCTCGGAGCGCGAAAACCCTTCCCACAGTGGTGACAGCGGTAGATTCTGACCCGTCTCTCCTCTGTGTGATTGCTTTCATGCTGCATAAGAACACCTTTATTGCGGAACTTCTGTCCACAGGTCGAGCAGCTGAAACGTTTGTCTTTATCTTCTTGGGATTCTTCTTCCAGGTCACTACGGCCTCTTTCACGTTTGATCTCAGCCCTCCGAATGATCCTGAGTTGCTCACGTCCCTCCGCACATGTTTCAGCAGTAAGCAGGCACTCATTTTCCTCTTGTTTGACCTGCTTGGCCAATGCTGATTTACTTTCTTCTCGGGGCTTCGTGAACTGGCTCACTTCATATTCAAAAGGTTCCTCCTTGACACAGGCCAAAGAGACTGTGCTGCTGATGGTGATATTGCAGGTCTCCTCCACTTCGTTTCCAGCCTCTGCTGCCTGTCACAAGTAAGTAAGTGATAAAGAGATATGGAAAGAAACACATAGAATCACTGACCACTTTGTGCCCTCATTGTCCACTTTGTAGTTCTACATTATAGGGCTAAACATTTAATACTTTTTATACTGAAGTTGGAATTTGAAAGAATGCAATTTTTAAATTGTAAGCAATTTTAATAATATCTTACAATATCCAACACTGTCTTAGCAAGTTTTAAATTTAACCTAATAACGCAGAGCATGTGAACTGACAGTCTGGTACACTAAGTTCTGCATTCAAACTTCAAAAGTCCAAAAAAACAGTCTTCATGTTGAAAATAAACATTTAATTTATAGAAAATAATCCCAGTTAAATTGCACTCACAATATTGTTAAGAAAAACCACAATTGGATAGTTTCCCAAAATTGTTCAGCGCTACTACAATAACAGATTGAAGTTTCTCTGCATATTTTGTAAACCCTACTTTATTTTGCTCATCATTGGTCAAGACCCCCACAGGGCCACCACTGAGCAGGTATTATTTAGGTGACATATAAGGCAATGCTGTCTGGATATTTATGGTTGGGAAACTATTCTAAGCCTTTCTACACTCCTTACATCTACACTTATTGTCCATTTTATCAGTTCCACATATCATATAAATGCACTTCGTAGTTCTACAATTACAGACTGTAGTCCATCTGTTTCTCTGTATACTTTGTTAACCCCCTTTTACCCTGTTCTTCAATGGTCAGCACCCCCACATGACCACCACAGAGCAGGTATTATCTGGGTGGTGGATCATTTTAAGCACTGCAGTGACACTGGTGTGGTGTTGGCATGTTACTGTGTATTGCGCTGATATGAGTGGATCAGACACAGCAGTGCTGCTGGAGTTTTAAACACTGTGTCCACTCACTGTCCACTCTATTAAGCACACCTGCATTGTTGGTCCACCTTGTAGATGTAAAGTTATACAGAAGCTCATCTGTTGCTGTACAGTATGAGTTAGTCATCCTCTAGACCTTCATCAGTGGTCACAGTAAGCTGCTCACAGGATGCTGCTAGCTTGATATTTTCGGTTGGTGGACTATTCTCAGTCCAGCAGTGACACTGAGGTGTTTAAAAACTCCAGCAGCACTGCTGCACCTGATCCACTCAGGCCAGCGCAACACACACTAACACACCACCACCACGTCAGTAAGTGCTGGGAATAAACCATCACCCAAATAATACCTGCTCTGTGGTGGTCCTGTGGGGGTCCTGACCATTAAAGAACAGGGTAAAAGGGGGCTAACAAAGCATGCAGAGAAACAGATGGACTACAGTCTGTAATTGTAGAACTACAGAGTGCTCCTATATGGTAAGTGGAGCTGATAAAACGGACAAATTTGTAGAAACAAGGAGGTGGTTTTAATGTTATGGCTGATCAGTGTATATAATAATACCATAGAAATCTCTATAAGACTCCTATAAGAATCTAACTGAACATTTTTACTACTATAGAAGACAATAGGGTGCTACTCAAGTATCATATATTACTATAAAACAGTATGTTAAAACGTTATAAATTATTATAAAAGTGTTATACACCACTATGGAAACCTTAACGTTTCTTATAGTTCTACTATAGATCATTTTGGAAAGAATCGTTTCAAAAGATGCTTTGCTTTATCCTAAATCCTCCGTAAAACCATATCTACGCTAAATCATGCTACGTAATGTACTCCCGTCATTTTATTATCCTTACCTGTTCATCTTCATCATTTGAGGCACGATCGCCGGGATAAATCGTAGGAACCGCGTCGACGTTTAATATTAAGCGGGTGGTGAAACCGAGATCAAGCTGAGTGAAGCTGTCTTGTGAGAAATGGTCACCACAAACCCGGCTCGAAACGGAGACGTGTTCTCCATCGGCTTTACTGCGTTCAATAAACTGCAGCCACAAGCTGCGCCTTTTCGGTTCTTCGGGTAAAATGTAATGAATTATAGTGTCCGAACTGTTTGGACAGCCACCAACCACACATTTATGTGGCATAACGTCGAACGACTTCTAAGTTACCTTTTTAAATATTTATATTTATTTTAATAACTATTTTAGCGCATGGTTAAGAAAATCACGCAGTGTGCATTAGCTAGCTGTGTTAGCCTGTTAGCTTCAGCAACAAAGAATGAAAATGTTGTCACCAAAAAAGTGGGTAACTTTAATTTTTATATTTAAATGACTATCTGGCTATCTATATGTTTATCCAAAGTATGCGAATTTGTCTTTTAGAAGCGCGAATCCTCAAATAACTATGTTTTTAAATGTTTTAATACGTAGGTTACTTCAAAAATGTTGCAGATTTCGACCTTCCTCGCAGCGCATTGATCTCTCTCAGGCCGGTTGGTTGTCTCCGCCTGCTGGAAAGGAGGACGCTTTGTTTTGGTGAAAAATCTTCTTAAAATGATACAATATAATGTTCATATAAATTATATTTGGAGGCACGTATATGAGACCAGTCGAGACTTCCAGTTGAAGTTTCGTGTGTTCGTGTTTAAAGGCATCAAAAATGCTGATTTCAGTAAAGTTGTGCTCTATTTTCTGCGCATGCGTAGTTCGGTTAAGCTGAGCGAGGTTGTTCGTATAGCGGTCAGCGCTGCGGTCTGTGACAGAAAATATAAGCGTTTTAATCTTTAAACACGGAAACATTTCTGGACGTGATTCGAGAGCGGACAGCCAGGTGTACAGAACATGCCTAAAAACAAAGGTAAGATCTTTGACATAGGTTATTTTGATAAGAAAATTGGTTGTAGCGCGTATGCTATGGTTAGCCAGCGAGCCGTTGTTTGCTAAAGCTGAAGCTGCGTTTCCTATGGTTTCTTGTTTATGCTGTTTAAAATACACGATAATTCACATAAATACATGGTTGTATTTACGTTTCGTGCTGTATGTGGATTGTAGCTGGTATATTTAGTGACCAAACTAATGACTGTTTATAATTTATGTCGATATTAGCCGTATTAGCCTAGCCGGATAACTGGAGCATGGATCCACACCGGCCTGGTTTTCGTTCTCCGTTTTTCGAAGTATGGCTAACCTATGTTAGCTAACAGAGCAGGGATGACATTAAGTTACTATTGACAGTTTAATTCTGAATTATCAGTTAATGTAACAAAAGAGTTTTCGTTGTCCGGGAAACTAAATGTGAGGTGAAGTTAGGGGCTGATATGTGTGTAATTCGACCGATGTGGCGTCTCGAGTTTCAGTGATACTCGTTCATCTTCTGTAATATAACTTAAGGATACGTTTTTAGTGATCTGACCAGTTTACTAAAGGGATCTTCAGGTTATCAGAGAAGGCTGCCTGGGAGTCTTTTTACTAGAGGACATGGGTTAACTAATTGCTGGCTTCAGTAGTTCCACGGTGAAGCAAGCGGAGCACCTTGCAGTTTATACCTCTGTTGGTTGCGATGGATCCCTGTGGAAGCCTATTCCTAACACTAATATAAAATAATAATAAAAAAATAAAATATCTTCTGAACCTTATTTTTTCGCATAGTTATGTGAATTGCCGTGCCATTATTTTGCGATAATAAGTCATTATTCTGAGATTATCTCATTGAGATGCTACGTCGTTATTTTGAGGTAGTAAGTCGTTATTTTGAAGTCATTATTTTCATTATTTTAAAAAAAAACTTTCGCAGTTTGTATACTTAAATATTATGTATATTTATATTTTCATCTCTAAATAATGAGAGCATCTCTAAATAACGAAGGACTGTCTTAAATTAATGCAATAGTATTGCAAAGTAAAGGTTTACTATCTAATAATGAGATTATCTCAGAATAACGACAAAGCAGTATCACAAAGTAATAGCATAACAATTTGCTTAAAAATGAAAAAAAAGGTGCTGAATTGTCCCATTTTAAGTGGAGGGAATGGGCTTCCATATGATTGTGTGTCTCCACATAATACATATATCCGATACATCAGAAGTACGTAGTTCTTGAAAATGTGTCGTAAACTATACTATAATGGTGATACAATACAATATGCTGTGATTTAGTTTGATACAGTACGCAATGCTGCACTGTTACATTCCTAAGCATTTCACTCTCCACATTAAATATCAGACAGTAATACAGAGAATACGGGTATGTCAGATGTTACATGGTTTGGCCAACTCACTAAAACTTTTACAAATTCAGTCATGTTGTTAGCAGTGTAAATTTATAAGCATTTCTGCATTTTTGGACTCGTCAAGTTGCTGTGTTTTAAGTGCACAGTGACACATACAAATTTTAATGCTGCTAAAATATGTAAATACTGATAGAAATGCAGCAACGACTTAAAAGTTGTGTCTGTTGTAAACAACATTGTGTTAGGGAAAAGGTAACACACGCTCTCTCACAGCAATAAAAACAGTTTATTTAGTTAAAAACATGACGTTTCAGCCCCCATTCGGGTCTGTAATCAGAGCTCAAATTTAACCTAATAAAGAAACTATGATCTAGACTACAGTGAGTCTTCCACTTTTTTGTAACAAGCTTTTTTGGATGTGCCTCACCTATACTTAGTTGAAGCACCTTTTTCTTCGAATTGTTACCAACATCTCAGAAAATAAAGTTAGTAGCACCGCTATTCTGTTGGTAATAGGTGCCATTGAGTTAACAGAGTTCTCTCTAAGTAGTTGCGTACAGTAAACAAAACAGTTTCAGCTGGAAGATACTGCTTTGTGTCAAAGTAGGTTTCATTATCATATCAATTGCAGGCTAATTGTTTCTCAACGTTGGTCACTCATTCTTCCCTCAAACTATCATGATTGCAGTCTGAGTGAATAAGAGTTTTAACTGCTTTGAATCTTTTGTCTTGAATAATCTCTATTTCTCTGCCTTTAGGTAAAGGAGGAAAGAACAGGCGACGTGGTAAGAATGAGAATGAATCAGAGAAGAGAGAACTGGTGTTTAAAGAAGATGGTCAAGGTGAGTCGCGTATTCAGAATTGTTAAGCAGCGGCTCTAGCATTCTCCTTATACCAGTACATGTTTAAAGAATGTCTGTTTTAGTAATGAAAACATTTCTCCTTCTGTGTTCCAGAATATGCACAGGTATTAAAGATGTTGGGAAACGGCAGGTTGGAGGCCATGTGCTTCGATGGAGTCAAACGGCTTTGTCACATCCGAGGAAAACTCCGGAAAAAGGTACAATTCTGCCTGGAGGATTCTGCTGACTCAGCATTCTCAGCATGCTGTGTAATGCTTGGATTGTTCAGGCTTTTGTTGTAAGTCATGGGGATTGCTTCAAATGATGAGGTAGATTAGCTGACAACAGTTGGTTAATTCTCATTTGCGTTTTTATTTTGATTTGCCTTATTTTTTGTTTTCAACCTGAAGAGCTCATCAGTAAATTAGTAAAGTTAGTTAATGTTTGAAATGACATCAGATAATATAAATGACAAATTGAGAATGTTATTTTATCTTATTGAATGTTCCACCATCAGGAAACTGTTTTGTCTGAATGTTTTGTTTGTTTTTTTTTCTAAGTAGATTTAGCATCTGTGTGGTGGCTCATTAATCTTATGTGCTTTCATCCTCTCTTTCTAGGTGTGGATAAACACGTCAGACATTATACTCATTGGTCTGAGAGATTATCAGGTATGGAGTTTAACTATACTGCAGTGCACTCTTTGTAGACATTTTATTCTTTACTACGGACTATACAACAACTTATAGAAGTGCACCACTCCTGAATTCTTTACAGCAAAGTTTGCCGACTGCAGATATTGTAGCCAATTTTTTATTAGCCTCCAGATAAGCTCACACTAAACACACTAACACGTGAAACACACAAGCACATTTCCTGTACTTTCCATGAAGCAACATTGCAGCATAAATAATATTATTTATTTATATATTTTATCCATTAAAAGTTGAGGTAACTGGCTATATAGCACAACGAGTCATGCATAATTATACTATGACTGTGTTAAAGGTGTAGCAGCAGCATTCAAATACAGTGCTTGCAAGCACACTTGCCCTCCTCATGTTATTTGTCATAAAATTGCATCACAGATCAGTCAAAAATAAAAACAATGAATTGGCCTGTTGTTTAAAGCAAACATTTTCGATTCTAATCGTGTACCCCTACCTATGAATGTATCATATTTAGCAATTACAATATATGGACTACTTCACGATTACATAATCTGTAGGCTGTAGTGTATCAGACAGGGAAAAAGGTTTTCAGTAACATACAGTTGGAATTTGACCTTGTTTGGCTTGGGGGTGCTTCAGGTGCATGCAGTATACAAATCAAAGCATAGTTTTGTATAGTTTTTCAAAATTATCTGATCAATAATTCCTTTTTTTTCCCATCACAGGACAACAAAGCCGATGTTATTTTGAAGTATAATGCTGATGAGGCCCGCAGCCTGAAAGCCTACGGAGAGCTTCCAGAGCATGGTGTGTATCTGCATTACTGTAAACCACTTGGTTGTTCTGACAGGTTGCTTATTTGTGCATTTGTCGCTTACATCATTTGTTGGTTCGCAGCCAAAATCAACGAGACGGACACATTCGGAGGTGGCGATGATGATGAAATTCAGTTCGATGACATTGGTGACGATGATGAGGACATTGACGATGTAAGTACCAACCAAGATGTAAACACTCTTCAGAGCAATCTGAGAGAAACTACTTTTTTACCACTGAAACAAAAGTCTGTAGCAGTATCATGTTGTAAATGTCATTGCTTCCACTTTGCTTTAGATCTAATCTGGAGCTGCTGCTGAGGGGAAAGTGGACTTTTCTCAGCCTGCAGAGACAGAATGCCCATGATGTCCCCAGTGGAGTCAGCCCTCTCTCCTTACGTCTAAGGTGGCTCAGATTTAGGGTTCTGTCACTAACTACTATGACTGCACCATT